AAAACGAAGACTTGCAATTATACAAATATAATGTGGCGAATCAAATCAGTGCACGGTCCAAGTCCAAAATTCAGAAAGAATAAGATTTTTTCTAGGATGGATAAGTCTTCATATTTCCTTCGCTCTCGAATACTTTTCAACCTGGCCGACTTCGTATCTTCCCCCTATACCATTTCCCATTGCTGTCTTTCATATGGGCAGAAAGAGGTTCCCATCCTTTTCCTTTTTTACTCTTTACCTCCTCCTATTCCGTTTCCTATTATACCTCACAATTCCCGAGAGCTCGGATTATAGAATTGTAGATAAAATGGTTTTCTCCTCATTACTGAAGGCGGAATCAGGTATCTTCGCGGTTCTCATATCTCATCTCTTTTGTGGAAGAAGCTTAAGAGAGATAGTAAGGCTTTCGAAATGCACCAAGGGCTGTAGGTATTAGCGGAGATAAATGTTCGATGTTCGACGGATATGGTGGAACGAAGAAGTAGTATTATAGATAAAAGAGTCTCTTGTGAAATATATAGCTCACCTGAATAGGATGCGTTATTAAGGATAAGTATCTAGTATATTCATTTACATTTAAGTACGTCATTAATACTTAAAAGAAGTTCTTGTAAAGTCGGGATGATCTCGCGTGAAAGAAATATTTTTCATATTATATGTAGATATAGATAAGAATAGCAGGTACTTCAGAAAACTATATAAGTGCTCCTATACTACGTTTCTAATAACAATGGAAACGTGATCCTTCTTTCATCTAATTAAGCGAAAACATCCATAAAAGAGATATCGTGAGGAGTAAAAGGTATAACAAATATTTGGACTGATAAGAAGTAAGTAACACCTTCGCGTCAAGAAGATGTAACTCCTTCACGTTTCTCTTATATTTTTCAATAGCCTTGATGCATATACCTATATGTATACATATAAGAACCCTGAGATAGATATTTTTGTCGACTCAAAGGAAATCGATAACAATATATTCACAGACAAGTAATATAGGGTGTTCCAATGATCCATGAAGAACATTTGATTCGACGCTGAATATGAAATCAGTGATACGGTAATAGGTAGGTGATATCTGCGTTGAGGTGACGTAATGGGCATATTCTAGATCGTAAAGGGTAAAGGGCGTAGAGGGGGGTTAGAAATACGCGCACCCAAGGGATGTTTCCATACTACCCTAGGAACATAATTTTCCGAGTTAAGATATGAGGCTTCCAAACCGCCCCGGAACCCATCCGCCTTTCCAGTCGTTCTCCAAACCTCTCGTGAGTCTGGAGCATCCTGCACATAGGAAGCGGATGTACGTTCCTGCGGCACATATGTGTGTATATATATATATATATATACCTTACAGTATTACTGGTATACATAGCTTAAAGTCTTCAAACATTTATCCCAAAGGAATATAACGTTTATTATGACTTTGAGGTTAGAATTTTCAAAGATCATTGCTTGTACACGTGTTACGACTTTCGCTTTAGTTCTTAGGTACGAGAGTGAGGAAAGTGCGCTGTACGGACATATATTCTTGTAAGACGCTAAAAAAAATTATGAAAAAATGTTCAACAAATTTTTACGTAAGCTACCTTCTTGACATTTTTCGGAAGCGATCCAACATCGATCCTGCCACAAGAGACGTACTTTTTCATTTGGCATCGGTCTCTAAGAAACTATCCCGCCGATCCAACTGTTAGTCGGACCGATAACAGGGTGTCCCAGGACTCGAGGGAGATCGTAGTTCTACCCGTAGACGTGGAAAGACGGGCTTTCGGGTTCCTGGAGATATCGCACCACGGGGACCCTTTCCTACAGCTGCTCCATCTGCGTTTCCTTCTGTCCCTCATTTTATCACTCTGTCTCTCTTTCTCCTTCGTACAAGGTGTTCCTTGGAGCTCGACAGATTTGTATGGCTAGGTAGCGGAACAGCTATCCCTATACTTCATGACTATATTTTATAACATTATAATCCATTTACCAAGAGAATGCCAATTACCGTCAACACTTTTTAGGTAGGCTGATTAACATCGACTTTTTTTATTAAATTAAACATATAATCATAAGGCTGCTGCCACACCACATAGTAAATCATTAAATTATAACGAACATCCCTTATACATAAATTGACTCGTATATCCTACATCTACTTTTGTGCTTTTTATTTTATTTTTTATTCCTATCTGACATGAACTTTACATCTATGATTGTTGGCTGATCTCCCTGCAATGGAGATGATTGAAATAAAATTTTGTCCCTGATTCTTTGCTGGCTTCTTTTTTCGTTTTTTATTGTCTACGTGAAGTAACGCTACGCGGATTAGTTCTTCGGAGATAGACGGACTGGGTGCAATCTCCGGCCAGCACTTGTAATCGTTGTTCTTCTCCGGGTGTACCTGTGTGCGAATTGTACAAAATGGGAAGAGGCCACTTTGTTACCGACCCGCTTTCGGTTTCTTAGGTGGCTCCTTTGCAACGCGTATTACGCTTTACAACGCAGTAAAACGGAATGTGAAAAGAGATTGCCTTCTACGAAATATAGCATCCTTGCACAGAATTTTACGAAGAGGTAACCAGCTTCCTACTCAAACTTTACGTACGGCAAAAGATTTAAGTAAGAAACGGTGACGATATTAAAACATTTGAGGGTCTGTAATTTGAACGTGCAATCTGTGTTGGTATACCAGATGCGAATGTCTTCACGGTTCGTGATACCTTTTGAAAATAATAGACCAAGGTGAAGCCAAGGTGCAAAGGGCAGATTATTATTTCCGTCATACAAGTTATATAGACGCATGGGAAATCGTTGCTGTTTAAATCTTTTTCCATCAACTTTACGTTCTATTTACATGGCATTAAAGGGAACTCCCCAGCGTGGCAAGTGCCAGGTCTCTTTCTTTTATTTTATGGCTTTTCATCCTGTTGCGTAATAATGTCGCGCAACCGTAAACTTTGAGGCTCCTTCTCGTAAAATGGCAAGTAACGGGTTCTCGCTATGAATGCAGCCCTGAACCGGTGAGAATCCTTTAGCTGGAAGAATAATGGCGTCGTGTAAATAATGACTAGGGATTAGAAGCAGTGGTAAGTGTGTATCTGGAAAACAACTTTTAGGGAGTTACAGCCACTTTGACGCAAGTGAATGTTTCAGGTGTATTAACTGTCTAAAATATAATTATGTACTTATGTAACATTTTTCGTTAAAATTTATCCTTGCTATGATGGTTTAAGTGATTCGAAATGGTTTTACTTGGTATTGTGAAATATTCATTCTTATACCAATCCTGTTATTTGTAAAATATCAAGTTCCTAACTGTCAACCCTTTTGCTTCTCGTCATGGGAAACGCTAAATTGTATAATATATCTATATTATGTATAATAACTAGATTGAAAATTGATTAAAATTCTTTTATTTTTATTTTTCAACGTCATACCTGTTGAATTCAAATAAAATAAAAACTAGAGAATTTGAAAATTGGTATAATTGTAGGTTAAAGTTGTTGAATTGAATGCAAGTACAGCAAGATGCACGTTGTGCAAGTACGGTATAACAATCATGTATCATGTGAAAATGTTATTGACAGTGTGATAAAGCTATAAAAAACAAAAATGTCGGATGTATCAATTTGAAAATGCAAGTGACAAATTGTATCGTTAAAATTACAGAAACCCCGTTTCATTGTCGATACTTGTACGAGCTTTTAAGATAACTGATATATCTCAGTTGATTTCACGAGTATCATATACATATAGCAGAAGTAATCATAAATACGATCCTAGGAAATAAGTAGGTACTATGCTTTAAATTGTTATAAAAAAATATTTTTGTTCGATGCAGGTATTAATTTTGACTTGAATTTCATAAAAAGAGACACCCAATAAAATAAACTATTTCTTTTACTTTTAACATAACCGACATCAAATCCGAGCATTGGTAAAGTTTATGCATGCCATGAAAAGAGGAATCTTTTTTTCCAATATAGACACTCGCGAAAGCGGCACTTGGCCAAGTAAATATTATTTTTCGTCGTGAAGTTTTGGGCAAGCGGATTTCCCACTGCGGTCTATCAAACAGTTACTTCGCTGATCCAGAAAGAAGCCGTTACGGCCGCCATACTTAACAAAGAAATATGTGAGTTTCATATAAAAACAAAGCCTCGGCCGCATTTGAAAATATCCCAGCTAAAATCTTCCACTCCATCCTGTCGTTACAACAAATCATAACTGGCCAAAAACTTCAACGCCCTTTTCACGATAAGGAAGAACTTCCGACAATTTATGGATAAGAAAGTTTTCGTTGGTGACGTTTATTACTTTCGCCCATATTCATTCACGTCGTCTGAATGGCTTCGCTGCCGAAAGCCTAAATCTCGGTTAAATCTGAGATACTGCAAAACGAGTCAGCGAGGTCGCGCGAAGCTCGCTCCTCCCATCAAATAAAACGGGGTTGCTGTGACGTGAGTGTCAAGAGTATCTTCTCTTTGAACAAGCTGTGGCATTTTCATGGCGTTTGGGAATGCGCGTGAGCTTTGATCATTCTGAAGCAAGATTACATCATCATGGAAAAAAAAAAACAGTGCACCGAATTCAATAAGATGAGCCACATTAAAGAAACACGTATAGCAATATTTATGAATATTTAAAATGTTCAAAATCAAGATACAGAATGATGCTTTAGTATTTTTTTTTCCTTTTAAAAATTTATAAAAGCTTTTTCAGTGTCGACTTATTCAATTCGAAGTGTACCAAAAGTAATGCTTTTCATAAAAGTCTACGAGAATTGAAAAGTTTTTAAAATTTTTTCTTTCTCTCTCTTTTTTTTAATATTACTCTACGTATCCTTTCTACTAAATACTCTTTCGCGAAGCTATTCGTCTCTCGAATATTCCGAAAAATAATACGAAAACTTGCAAGATACTTGAATGATGCTCGGCTATATGTCATTTAGCTCAAGTAGCTGTTTCAAGTTTAATTTTATTCACATTGAGGGCATTGTGATGAAATGTTGCTGTGAATTCAGCGCCAGGGTTTACTTCTCCAGACCGAAATCCTCGAGAATTTCTCCTTTGTAAATAGACATGTAACTGTCGTATTATCTCCTGGCGCGTCATTGTCTCCGAGAACGCTTGGTCGCACGGCATTACTCTACCGACTACGGAGATAAGAAGCAATTTACGAAGCTCACGGTCGAAATTGTCTTACACCAATCCTCAAGCCTCGAGGGATAACGCAACTAGAAGCATGTATGTATACACACTATCTACCGGATACCAATTAAATGGCTGGACGTTATTTATTCGACAGTAAATAAGAGTTGAATTTTGGCATGCTAAAAGTGGTAACAGTTAGAAAAGAAAGTTCGTGATTTCTTAAATAAATGTATAAAGAATATGTGTGCTCCATATACTTTTACAGTTTACTGGTTAGTGAAGAAGTTTGATTCAAAGAAGAAATCTTGTCACGTACATTATTGTTAGTAGGATATTGGGCGTGGTAATAAAAGTGATACGTGATTTACATTGAATTCAAAGATTTTAATAGATTCCAATAATACGTACGTTAGTAAATGAAAGGCTGCATACAATTTGTAATTTTATAACGTTACGTTTACTGTTTTAATAAATAGTGGTTATCTTTATAATTTTTTAATAATTAAATACGATTACTCGTTTATTTCGAGGCACGATTAATTATTTTAAAATATTCTTTATATGTATATAATTGCGTTAAATGGGATTCAAATGAAATTTTTTTAATCATATTGCACATTTTGATTGTATACGTTTTTAAGCGCAATACAATTTTTAAATATATTAATAGAAATACAATATTTAAAAAATGCTAGCGCTCCTGACACGAATATAAATTGTCACTATGAATCAACTGTGTGAGGATACCATATGGTTAGGTCCATCGTTTTCGGTATGCATGGGGTTTGACAAATGAGGGATGCAGCCCTGACTGCGTTATGACTTCCCGTATTGTATCTGTCTCGGTTGCGTCTTTAAAAGACACATGACCTCATCGCCGAAGTGTGTAACATGTGACGAATTACCGACAGGTCTTGTCTGCTCCATGGTAATTATTACTATCGATAGATCGCGCAAATATCGCTTTTCCCCCCTCCATTCTCTGCGGTGCTGTATTCCGTAGGAGATATCCTGGCTCGTCCCTTTTGACTGACAACCGTCTGAAGTGTCAATTCGACGTGCCAGGTATTTATTAATTCATACCAAGAATATAGTCTACATTCTATTGAAATTTAATTTTTATCCGCGAATTGTATCCGAATACCAGGCAACAGGGCCGACGAATTCACGGATTGAAAAGGAAAAGAATTAAACCAAAACTATTATCACATGTGAGCAACGTGCGCAGCGAATTCACAATTAAATTGACGACGTCAAATCGCGAAGCCAGACTGTTAAGCCATCACTGACAACCGCCACGTTGGACCTTTTGACCTGAAAAATCCTGAATTGAGATAAGCTTTTAAATTATGTATATTATATAGACAATTTCAACGTGTAAAATATTCCGAAAGAATGAGTGTGAATGAATATGAATGAATGAGAAGTTTTATAAATGTAAGAGCTTTGTCGTTTTGTTAAAAATCTTATAATTATCATTGACTTATTGGTTATCTTGTTGACTATAATCAACTCAATAAATTAATTTGTTTCGAAGTTCAATATATAAAAGAAATTCGTTACAAAGAAAAAAGATTGTCGTTCGGCAATACATGTTATCAGTGGCGACCAGTAATCTTTCTTAACAAAGCTATCACTACACATTCCGCAATTTTAACTCGATCCGTGAAGCAGCGAAAGCTGATAATATAATAATGTAGAAAAAACACAAGACCCCGGGATCGTTGGGCTGTCGGTATACCGTAACAAACAAATAGCACGAGACTAGCGTTACGTTGCATAATACGAAACCTCATATCGTTGATGGTTCTCTTTCACAAAAACTATCAGCCCAGAATTCTATTCCTATAGTAACGGTTGTTTGCTTTTTTGTCAACCACCAGTCCTTTTGATAAAAATATATTCCGAACCATTTTTTATTCCCACACTCGTTTTTCGTATTTCATGCAAAAATATTTTTCATCGTAATAACAGATCAATAGAGTATTTCTTTAACTCTTTATTACACAGTGCACAATTACATAGTGCTGTCTCATATATCTTACCAATTTAATGTTTAGCCTCCATGTCGAACTTGTTTCCACGTAAATTTTCAATAAACTAAAAAAACTATTATATAATTATTGATTGACACCTAGTCGATAAATTCATTTAAATTATGAGAGGAGCGACGTAAAACTCCAGATTTCAGCTATTCTATTCGTTGTAGTGATCTTGCAATTCAGTTCTATAACTTGAAGCCTCACCGAACTCACCCTGTAAAGTATCTTTGCAAAGTCGTACCTGTGTAGTGAATGATTGAATAGTGCTAAAACAGATGTAAGTCTACGAATTTCAAAAATATGTTTAACATTAATATAAAATATTATTTGATCCATTAATAATATGTTATTAAGTTATTATCAAATATATATATTATACATTATCGATTACTGTATAGGACATGATGATGAATATATATTTTACTAAAAAATTTATATAATTTACATACAGATCAGCAAAATATATTAAAATACAAAAATCATATATAAGCATTTCTATTTCTTTGAATGTAAACAAAAATTCATGAAATAGTATATGTAGTCATTTGGCATAATCGTGAATGTTGTAAAGTGATACCGGAGGATGTTAATAATAAAGACAGTTAGTTTTTGTGAGACATTTATAATGAACATTCGACATAAAGAAAGAGCTCAGCCAGGTGTAATTAAACGAGAATGGCTTTCTGTATGACCGAAACGAGATAGTCGTATAGAAACCTCGCAAAAGTATAACATTTCTATGGATTTTACAGTGACTGAAGCTGAAAGCCGAAAGAGCTGTGTGCCCAGGAGGAACAAGCTAACAACAGTGAATTCGAGCAAAATCTACAGGGGGAAGCTTAGGCTCATTTTGATAGTTGGCAGTAATTCAACGGTGGCACTGCAAAACGAAAATGCGTAGCATAAAAGGTTCATTTCGTTCTTAAGCCTTATACTCTTGATTCGTAACGCGAGTATTATGGAAGAAATTTGCGGGCATTATTTGAAGTGCATACAATCATATATATATATACCAACACATTCTCTAATTCCATACTATACTTATATGTATATGGGTACGCGATATATCCCTATGTACAAAATGTGTTAAATTCTTTGCAAGGATGGAAAGATTTGCAACGAGTAAGCCGGAAAGGTGGATGGACGTGACGAAGCAAAGAAAAGGATGCGATTCAACCAAGGGAAGCAAATGCCTCGTTAATAACGGGACGAATGGAGAACTAATTATTCTTGGGGTTCTCCGTTGTCAGAGGGAGAATATTCTTTTGGATTTTGAATTGCTAGTAAAATTACTTCAGCCGTGTGAAATTGACTTACGTAGTCCTGATAAAATGTTCAAATGTATGTACAGTAGTGAATATTCTGTGTATCTTCCTTACTGGGTTGTGATATACATATACATATATATATATAGCGTATCATCTCGTGGTGAATAAATTCAAGGGAAGGGAAGGACATGACGAAGCCGAAATTAAATGACGAAATAAATCAAGTCGCTGGAAGACTGGAAGTGGATACTGTATCCTTATACGTAGACAAGCAGCGAGAGGTTCACTGCATTCTAAACTCGACGGCGCCGGCAGCTAAAGTCCCTCCCGGTAGAAAGTAATTAATCGCGAAACCGGCGTTTCTGCATTCCGTTGTCTCTTCCGCTTTTCTCATCCCCGATCCTTGCCATCATTTCCGGTGAAAAACTGAGAGGATCTTCGTTGAGAACATTAATTTATATTGAGGTAGGCCAGAGATAAGTGTAATCCGCTTTTACAGATTCTAATTAAACAATGCAAATCTTTACGTATTCCAAAGCTGCTTCCTTCGTTCTTCCTATACTTCTTAATCCTAACTTTTCTTGTTTCACCTTCGTTTTTAAAAAGCGTAAAGGTACGCGAGTTCCCTTTGTATAATATAATATATATGCTATAGCATGTATATGAATCTGAAATTCCCACTGACGAAATTTTCCGCGATAAAGGAAACTTTTAATGCGCCTGAAAAAGAATCCAGCGAACTTTCAAAGCAGACGGTATTCTATAGGTACTTAATCCTGATTGGTCCTTATCGCGCGAAAAGTGGTCCTTCCTATAGGAATATTTAAAGATTTTCTTAGTTTATCCCAAGTAGCTATACTGTAACAGTATTTTTTACCATTTGATAGACGAGCGTCGTTTACTTCGCTACGTCGTTGTGATGCTGGTTTCCCATAGCGAAGTATCATTTCTAAAGGATAAATGTCTACTGGGGCAAAACTCATCAGGAGGACACACATGTTCCCCATCAGGGCTGAGTGGCGTTTGGAGATGAGCATGGGCGTCACGTTTTAATTCATAATTAAGTGATAATGGTCCTGGCGACATCTGCTCTCCTTCCAATGACGTGTGTGTGTGTGTGTGTGTGTGTGTGTGTGT